ACACGATCCCGACTTAATGTATTGGGCTTTTACTCAGACTTCAAAGCTCTAAATTGATCAATTTAGCTCCAAATTAACTTTTGAACTCAGGATCACTTCCTGCAAAGCATAAAACACGTACTAAGTGCAATTCACTATCATTTGAACTCAAACGCACGTAAAAAATGCAGTCATTGGCATGTAATACTATGGCTAAAATACGGGTTTCTAACCTAACATTAGTGCTGCAAGGTCATCCCAAGTGAGCACCTCACGACCCTACATAGGCTCCTAGTTATGGACCTGGAGATCAAGAGGAGTAGGAGGAAGAGGGTGGGGTGCAGGCAACCTAAGATCAAGTGGGGTAACCTGACCAAGGACAAAGCTCAGGAGTTGGGGGATAAGTTGTTGGCTACGAGGGCCTGGATGAGTAGGGGGGACGCGTCTAGTATGTGGTTCACAACTGCGAATTGAATTAGGGTAGCTGCTAGAGAGGTCTTAGAGGTAACGAAGGGCTCTCCTGGGGTCATAAAGGGGACTGGTGGTGGAATGAAGAGGTTCAAGGTAAAGTGGAAGCTAAGAAAGCTGCTTATTTGAAGCTAGTGGGGAGTACAAACGAGGAGGAAAAAAGGACTTATCGGGAGTGTTACAGAAAGGCAAAAAAAGAGGCGAAGTTAGCAGTTACGACGGCTAAGAACGCGGCGTTTGCTCGTTTGTACGGGGAGCTCGGGAGCAAAGGCGAGGACAAGAAGTTGTACCGGTTGGCCAATGTGAGGGAGAAGAAAGCCCGCGACTTAGACCAAGTCAAGTGCATCAAGGACGAGGATGACAAAGTATTGATGGACGAGGCACTTATTAGGAGAAGATGGCAGACATACTTCCATAAACTGTTGAACGAGGAGGGGGATAGATGCATTGTGCTGGGTGAGTTGGAGCACTCCGAGAGTCGGAGGGATTTTGGGTACTATAGGCGGATTACAGTAGAGGAGGTGGAAGGGGCGATGCGTAAGATGTGTAGGGGCAGAGCGACGGGGCCAGACGAAATCCCGGTGGAATTCTGGAAGAGCGTGGGGCGAGCAGGTTTGGAGTGGCTCACTAGGCTGTTTAATGTTATTTTTAAGACGAAAAAGATGCTCGAAGAATGGAGGTGGAGTACGATGGTTCCGCTTTACAAGAACAAGGGTGATATCCAAAATTGCAACAATTATAGGGGTATCAAGCTGTTGAGTCACACTATAAAGGTTTGGGAGAGGGTGGTGGAGGCCAGGGTGAGGAGGTGCGTGTCTATTTCCGAGAATCAGTTTGGATTCATGCCAGGGCGTTCGACTACGGAAGCGATTCATCTGTTAAGGAGATTAGTGGAGCAGTACAGGGAGAGGAAGAAGGACTTGCATATGGTGTTTATTGACCTTGAGAAAGCGTACAATAAAGTCCTGAGGAAGGTCCTGTGGAGGTGTTTAGAGCCTAGCAGCGGCGTACATTAGGGTGATTAAGGATATGTATGATGATGCTAAGACTCGGGTGAGGACTGTGGGTGGTGACTCGGAGCATTTCCCTGTGATGATGGGGTTGCACCAGGGATCGGCTCTTAGCCCATTTTTATTTGCCTTGGCGATGGATGTACTATCGCGACACATCCAACGGGAGGTGCCTTGATGCATGCTATTTGCCGATGATATAGTGCTGATTGACGAGACGCGAAGCCGAGTTAACGCGAGGTTGGAGGTTTGGAGACAGACCTTGGAGTCTAAAGGTTTCAAATTGAGTAGAGCCAAGACAAAATACTTGAAGTGCAGATTTAATGACGGGACCCATGAAGCAGACGTAGAGGTAATACTTAATGCTCAAGTTATCCCCAAGAGAGCGAGTTTTAAGTATCTCGGGTCTCTTATCCAGGGTAATGGGGAGATTGATGAAGATGTCGTACATCGCATCGAAGCGGGATGGATGAAGTGGAGGCTCGCTTCCGGTGTTTTATGTGATAAGAATGTGCCGCCAAGACTTAAGAAGTACTGGGGAGGTGATTAAATAGGACATGACGCTGCTTCAGCTCACTGAGGACATGACCCTTGAGAGGAGGGTGTGGAGGTCGAGGATTAAGGTAGAAGGTTAGTGTGTAGTTTTTAGTTGTTCACCGATTGTCTTAGTAGCATGCATGTCCCTTCATATTCTTAAATTTTTACGTTATGTGGTTTTGTTCATCTCAGGTATTGTATTCCCTGTTGCTATTATTTGGTACTACTTATCATTTATCTCTCCCTTTTTCTTTTCGCTTCCTTCTTTCTTCCTTCCTTGCTTTCCTCTTCTTCTTACCCTTCCTGAGCCGAGGGTCTATTGGAAACAACCTCTCTACCTGTATTAGGTAGGGGTAAGGTCTGCGTACAGACTACCCTCTCCAAACCTCACCTGTTGGGATCATACTGGGTTTGTTGTTGTTATTTGAACACCTTTATATTCTTTTTTTAATTTATATTCATAAAATAACATTGAAATTCCAACTATATAAATTAACATGCTATAAATAGTTAGATAATATACTCCAGAAAATTCTTTAGTAGCACATATTTTTTTTTTCTCCAAAAATTGAATAAGATGAAAAGCGGTATCCTAATCATCATCTATTATCATATCTTGAACAAAAGAAACATGTGCATTAAACATGTTGGTAATCGACAATCAATATCTGTAAGCAATAGACAACATATCATATACTGAATTCCATCTAGTTGGAACTTCTTTAGGAATTTTTCTAAAGGGTAATTTGCAAGCACCACAATGTATCTTAAATTTTCTATATCTAGCAGATATTTGAGAGCGGAAAATATAGCCAACTGCAAACCGGATTTTGTCAAGAGTAGTGCCAAACAAAAGAAGTCCATCTTGAACAACTAAATTATAAATATGACATGTACATCTAATATGGAATAATTTCGGAACAAGGTGGAGCTAATCTAGTTTTCAAAACTCATATAGCTGAATTGTTACTAGAAGCATTATCTAAAGTAATAGAATAATTTTGTTAGAAAGTCCATAAAAATCATAATTTTTTTAAATTTGTTTAGAAATAAAAATGCCAGTGTGTCGGCCATCAACAATCTATAACCAATAATACATTTTTGTATAGCTCAGTTGTTATCTATCCAATGGCATATAACTGTTAAGTAACCATAACCATTGACACTACGCCCTATGTCTGAAATGATAGAAACTTTACCGTCTAAGTGGAAAAATAAATACCGTAAATATTTTTGATATTCATGTTGAAATTTAAAAACATCATTTCAACAGTTGCTCGAGGAAAACCATGAAAAACATGATTATATGTTTCTTGTATGTAATGAATAAACCAATCAGATGATGGAAAAGTAAAAGGCAAATCCCCTACAACAACCATTTTTGCTATATTTTTCCAGTCCTTTTTTGGGTCATAAGGAGAAGACCTCCCGTCATATGGTTGATTTGTGGTTGTATAGTATGAGAACCATGCTCGGATTGGGATGGATTTGTTTCAGAATGGGGACCCACTCTCTACAAGCCAAACAACTTTGTGATGAATTTTCATATGCTTCTTTAAATTCCCCGTCCCGCCATGATCAGATTTATTTTTCAAAGATAACCGTTGTTGACAAATTTTACACATAGCTTTTTCATTAACCTTATCCTGCGTAAATCATTGTCAAAAAATTGATCATTTTTACGTTCAACTGGTTGTCTAGTGGGAGGTAATGGAACATCAACTCCAAACTGAGATTGACTTTGAGTTGGAGCTGTCGGAACCTGGCTAGTGGGTGTTTCATCTATAAGTTATCATTCTCTTCTCCTTCATCCTCAAATTTTCATGATCAACATATTGTTCTTGTAGTGATTCGTGATCTAGTAATTGATAATTAATACTAACATCATGATAGAAAGGTGTTTCATCTACGTGAGTGAAGTCATCAATAGGATTAGGATTACTAGAACTAGCAATACCCTTTGTCAATTTATTATATATCTTTTTTACCAGTTTAGGAGCCATTTGTAATACTAAATAATTAAAATAACAACAAATAGTAACACAGGTATAACAAAAATAAATGTGAAAATTAATAAAAGTTGGAACGAGTGCACTAAACGCCAATGTAAATGTCGACTTATAATTGATGTGGATGGAAGAAAATCACTCCGACTAGTAGTGTAGTGCTAAGGAAAAATACACTGCCGTATAATTGATGTTGATGCTTGAAAAATTATAGCAAAAGAATAGAGTGCTAGAACATTAATTGCAATTAGAGAGAGAGATAGAGAATTAGAGAGATAGGAGAGTTTTGTGTGAAAATGAAAGAATGAAATGAGGTATTTATAGTTTTAAAATAGGGCTTAAGTGTAATTTAACAAACTTAGAGGTTAAAAACATAATTTATGGGGTAGAGGGTGTTGGCGGGTAACAACAACAATAATAAACCTAGTGATTTTCCACAAGTGGGTCTGGGAGGGTAAGATGTAAGCAACCTTACCCTTACCCTGGAAGGGCAGAGAAGCTGTTTCCGATGGGTGTTAGCGGGTAGAGAGGCAAAAATGTCCATTTTTGGCTATTGCCAACAGCTATTTTTAAAAAAATAACCGTTGGCTAACGATCAAAAAGCGGCTAGATTTAAAAAAATAAAAGCGTTAATGTACTGGTTCGTTACCAACTGGACCAGTTCTAAGGGTACTTTATCCGGTTCCCTCCCACTCCCCTTCCCCTTCCCCTTAGCCCTAATCTCTTACCCCTACCCCTCCCGGTCGGACCAGGACGGACCTGTAACGGTGTGGACCAGATCGGTTACGGGTAATACCGCCCCCCATAGTCAGCCCTACTAGAGACCTCCACCATTAGTGGAATGTGGTCATAGAAAGTCCTATACTTTGTTGAATGGGGAAAAAGTTGTTTTTATGTCTTTTCTGATCTTGTTCAAATAAGAATGTGATGCTTTGAAAGATATGTTAATGTTTCATTCTACCGTTTTGTATGTCTAAGATGTTCAGTGCTAAGAAGTTCATGATCTTTTGTTCTACAGAAACAAGTTAACAAGACTTTCTGTTAATGCAAATGGTTCTCTTATTCCCAAGAGTTGCGTTGACAAGGACATGATAAAAAAGAGCCCCTGGTAAGTGCTTGGTCTGTTTTTGATTTTCTAAGTTTGGAATTTCCCAATGCCCATAAACACATGTGATGGTCAAAAGCTGATAACGTACTCCCGAGGTTGTGATTACTATTTTGGCTCAAATTTGTGATTACGATTTTGGCTTAAATTTTTCTCTTACCAAGAAACTTCTATATATTTTTTGATAAAGTAATAAATTTTATTAAAAGAGGGCAAAAAACACACCCACATACAAGAATTATATTAAAACGTAGAAAATCTTACAAAAAGATGTGTTTTTCTTCAAAAGACACTCAATCTTCTATGCATATAGGAGCATAGAAATGAGGAATAAGACTCTAACCTTCAAGTGTGCAAAATCCTTTTCTACTCCGTCAAAAGCTCTCCTATTTGTCTCTCTCCATACGATCCACATAGACGCTAGAGAAGCCATATCTCATTGCCTGCTTCTTCTCTTCCGTCTTCTTTCATCATGCTTGGCATAACTCACCGGAGTTCGAACTTTCTCAGGGTTTCCCACCACAAATAGGACGCGATCTGACAATGTAAAGTGAGATGACTTGCATTTCTCTTGAGTTTTTGTGCATGAAGCACTAACTGACACAATTAATCTTCCTCTTCCTCATATTCTCTGCTGTCAAGATCACCGCCCTCACAGCTAGCCAAGTGAAAAAACTAAGGGTGGCGTGTGGGCCGGTTCTCACGGTCCCGGTCCTGGGCCGGTCCCAATTTAAATGGGCCTCGTGGTCCCGGTCCTGGTGGGCTTTTTGTAGGAACCGGACTGGGACCGGGCCCACGAACTAATGGTCCCGGGCTAAGTGGGCCGGTTCCGGGCCTAAGTGGGTCCCATGGATACTTTTTTTTAAATTTTTTATAGAAGTTAGAGAAAAAAAGATGGTAATAAAAATATCTAAGGCAATTCCTTGTAAATTATAATATAAAATTGTGACCTAAATTTTTTAATTCAAATTTAAAGACAAATATTGTAAAGAGATATTCAAAGCAATGCATTATAATTTTATTATAGCAATTAAAAACATGGCAATATCTTTCTTAGTCTTCCTCCCCCCTTTGGAATGAGCACAACAAGGTGCTAATACCACTATTAAGAAAGGAAAAGAAGCTAATCAAGATGTGCCAAAATACAAGTTACATAGTACATACTAATATTTGTTCATACAAGTTACATGGTATCTCTTACAAACTTCATAAATCCATTAAGGTCCGGAGGAATTTCCGTTGGTGGTGGAGGAAAAGTAGCTTGGTCATNTTGTGATTCAGCAAGTCTAAAATTTCTTCTTTCCGAACGGATCCAATCTCTGAAAAGTACTGATTTTTCCAAGCTCTCCCTCATAGACGCTCTATAATCACCGAGTTGAAGTCTTGCTTGACTAAAAGTGCTCTCCGATGCCACTGTTGAAGCTTGAATAGTTAAAATATCTCGGGCCATCCTTGAAAGAACCGGAAAGTATTTTTCTTTGTTCTTCCACCATTCCAAAATATTAAAGGAACAATTCCCAATTAGTTTCATTCTCAAATCTATAGCCAATTGCTACAAATCTGCAAATTGGTGCGTCAGTTACTGTAGCAGTGAACAGTACCGCGAATTTTCAAACAAAGACAGCTGAAACTGTCTTGTTCATGGACGTTTGAGCAGGTGTTGATGAACGCTATCAGCTCTCCCCAGCCTATGGCTGTGGGAGAGCCAATTACAACTCCTAATTCTTATGCTACAAAACTAGTTCCCAGTCATACTACTCAAAATTTAACAAAAACAAAGCTTAAACCAATCGAGATTGTTCATGGAACTCCAACGATACAGTTCACAATGGAGGAACGAGCAGAATTTGCCATGGAAGAAGGATTACATCAGGCTATTGTCGTGAAAATTAGTCAAGATACTCCAGATCTGAATGTGTGGAGAAGGCTACTGCCCAAGCAACTTCTTATTAAAGGTAATTGTTTGGTAGGACAACTTGCGCGTAGGCAAATGTTGTTGCGTTTTGATCAGTATGAAGATTTCGTTATGTCATTATCTAGATCTGTAAATTATTTACCTTATAATGGAGAAGAACATCAGTTTCGAATTTTTCCATGGACTGTTGGATTTAATCCTAGAGAAGAAACATCTATGGCAGCAGTTTGGATTTCTTTGCCAAACTTGTCGCCTGAACTCTTTGCAAGAAAAGCTTTGTTGTCGATAGCAGCTGCTGCTGGGCAGCCCATTGCTGTAGATAAGGCAACGCAGTCCAAAACGAGACCTAGCACTGCTAGGGTCAAAATTACTGTTACTCGGACTATTCAAAAGTATTGTTGGGTGCATGTCGGATCCTCCAAATTTAGTGCATTTTTGGAGGATCCGACACGGATGCGGCCACACTTTTGGAGAGTCCGAGCAACATAGCAAAATTATCCTTGATCTTTTAGCCAAGCATCCAAAGAGAGCAACTTTGCAATATGTGGATGAAAGTACTGGAAAAATAATAGAAGCAGCCCAAGAGATCGTGTATGACAACTTACCTTTATATTGTACATGTTGTAGACGTCAAGGTCATAATGAGCATACATGTCGCTTGATTGTGTCCAAGAATCAAGAATCTGTAGGGAACAGGGCAGTCGAGGATCGTGGTGATCAAACATCTGTAGAGAAGTTTCAAGGTGATCTTAGGCAATTGTTGGATGCTAAAAAAATGCAACAAGCTGTTAAAGGAACAGGACTGGATGTAGCTAATACAAAAGTGAACTTTGAGAAAGTAATGCATCGAGCAGATTATGGTATAACTGTAGGTGAGACCTCAATAATTGATAAGCAGCAAGGGATATCAGTAGGTGAGACAGCATTTCATGTGAATTGCAATGGAACAGTACCTGGAGAAGCCACTACTTCTGCTTTGGTTTTGAATCGTGAAGGGGTCATGAGTATAACTAATGTAGCTGATTCAAATTGTGAAGTGATTAGGAACACTGATGCTGGTATTTTTGAAGATACAGCAACACCAACAGATGGACACTTGTGTGTGGTGGTTGATACACAGGGACCTGGGCAAATTGTTGATAATCTGACTACAGCTGCTGCTATACCAATTGAAGCTGGGCAGCCTATGGATGGTGTTAGTCATTCGCAGGTGAGGACTACTGTAAAGCAAGATGAGATGAAAAAAAAATGAAGGGTTTACCAATTTGGTGCAAGTACAAAAAATACCAAATGGTCAGGCAACAGATAAAGTTTGGACAACTGTCAATCAGTCAACCAGCAAAAATAACACTCCCAACAAGAACAAGATGCACAAGGTTGAGCAGTTATTTTCAAATCAATTTGCTGCAATTGACAATGCCAATGAAGATGGTGGGACGAAATCTGGACAGAATTTGCAACTGGTGGCAAGTCATTTTGCAGAAAACATGGATCAAAACAGTTCTTCAACTCCAGCCCTTGTAAAGAACAATATTCTTCTGTCAGCTCATGCATCAAAGGACATGGTCCGTTTGTAGCTGAACAAATGGGAAATAAAGCTCAAACCTCCAATGCACCTACGCTGCAATTTTCCAGCCCGCACATAGAAGAAATTATCAAGGAAGCTCAAAATGCAATGATGTTGAATACCACTATGGTAAAACAACCTTTGGTTACTCTAAACACCTCAGTGTTTGAAGTACCATCACAATCAGTGGAGTTGTTTGGTGAATTTCAAGGTGAGTCTGGGCAGCTCTTGAGATGGGCTGAACAATCTGAGGGAAATGAAGAGGAGAACAGGGGGATTGCAGATGATATCTCTACTGATTGTGATACTCAAGTCTGGGCAGCTTCTGAAGTGAACGTCAATAAAGCAGGAAAACAGCACCACAAAGTAGTACCAAAGCAGTTTGCGCAGCAGCAGCAGGTTAACAATCGTGCTGCAATTTCTGTGAATGAACGACATGAAGCAACACCAACTACAAGACATCAACAGCTAATTGAAAACAATCAAAGGTCAGTCATGCAAGCACCAAAAGATGGACAGCAACAACAAAAACCAATTGCTCCAGTTTTCAGTTTGGACGTTGAGTCGATGGACAGTTATCCGACAATCAATAAGAACAATACAACTCCAACCAATGCACACCAGTTCAATACAACAACCTCAACCTCAACGACAACAACAGGGAAGAAGAAGAAGAAGGTGCAGCAGAAGCAGATTGTAGCAGCTGCTGTGCATTGTGAGCAGTTCTTTGAGGACGTCGACTAGGATTCTATTCCACCAGGGCACCAGATCATGAAAAATTCAGCAGGCGTGAAGGAGAATGAACTCTATGCAGGGCGTGACAAACAGCATTATTATAGTGCTTCCAATAATGTTAGGATGGGAAAGCAGCTGGTTGATCGAGATGCAACATCAAATAATAGGCAGCCAAAATCCCCAGGCAGCTGGGCAGATCAGGCTGAAATGCTTCTTCCATCTGAGCAGCAACAACTTCAGAAAATCGCAGCAGTAGACTTGGAGAGTTTTAAACAGTCAGGTGACATTTCAAACAAGGCTTTGATCTCAGACCATGACCGTGCATTATTGGATGCTTTGGGCGGTCCAAAACCTCACAGAAGTGCATTTTCATCTGGCTCAAAAACGACTGCACAGAAGCTGAAATTTTCAGTGGCAAAGAGACATGAACCATGTAGTGCAAAGAGATTGAAGAGGCATGAACCATTGTGGATGGTTATACAAGAAGAAGCTAATCAAAAACTTGAGGCCAACTTATGTGTTGCCATCTCCGACGAAGCAAAAGAAGATGAATTGATTGAATCTTGTTTGGAAGAGGTGGCTACAATTGGAGATTTCTCTCCTAAGCATAGTGAAAAAAAGAAGGTGACTCAAGAAATAACACTCAGGCAACTCCCAATGAGAGTTGCAAAGCAAAAAGGGGTTGCAACCTCCACATCTACGAGGTCCAATAGATCCGAGAAGAAATGAAGAATTTTGAAGATTATTTGAAGACAGTTAAAGAGGATTTTAAGGAAGTTCAAATTGAAGAACTCACAAGTTTGATAAATGAGGGGCAAGATTCTAATTTCTACATTGTTTTAGTTTATCATTTTCAAAGCATCATCACTTGTAATAGCGTCATAGAATGTGTTATAAACTCTATGGCGATCATAAAGTACTTGGTACTTTCAAGTTCCTATTTTTTACATGCTTGCTAGAAGATGAGGTTTTTCTTTGCCTCAATAGGATTAGTAAGGTAAGTTTTAGCCCGGTTTGTGTTGCCTTGGTCCTATGCCTTCGGAAAAATATCCACATGACTATGAGATTATATGCCCTCGTGAGACTTTACCGGCAGCTACACCATAAATCCTTTACATGAGGCTACAATCATAAGGCAATGTGAGGCGCAGAGGAGTGATTATATAGCCAAGGCATATGGGTAACAATACGGGTGCTATTGTCCCCCTTATTTGTACTTCTCCGAATTGTTGTACTGTTCCTTTTTCTATTAATAAAAAACTATTCCTTTTTCTATTAATAAAAAACTAGCCCTAGGCGCTTGCCTAGTAGATTGCCAAAAAAAAAATAATATTAAAGGAGCCGTAGAGATTCACTTTCTCATATCCCTGTGACAAATAAACTTCAAGCTCATTTAGTTGTGAAAAATTATTAGTAGTAGAACCTTGAGAACCCCCGAACCCCGCCCAAGCACTAAGTGCTCTTACTCCCGCAGTTCTTTTAGATGATTGAGAACCAGAAGGAGTTGGAACATTTGGTCTAACATGATCTAATGCAACTTGATAAGCATTATAAATAGCTTAGGCATTTATTCTAATTGAGGCTATTGCTTCCGGAAGTTTAGACAACTCCTCATCTTCAAGTGCTAAACCATTATAAACAGTTTCATACCAAAAATGAGGACCTGCTAATTTCGTAGTAGGATTTAACAAGACAGCAACACTATAAATAGGGGAATAGGGAAAAAATATTTTTTAAACTTTTTTCTCATAGAATCAATAGCAATTTTATAAATTTCCGCACCCTCTGAAAAATGAGCAAACAAATTTGCAAGTTCTGCAATATAAACTAAACGGTTAGAAATAGTAGGATAATATTGCCTAGAAAATTCATTTGTAGCAATATGAACTTTTTCTAAAAAATCTACAAGCATTTTAACGTTATCCCAATCCGCATTTGTAAGGGGCTCATCATCATCACTTACATGGGCATTAAACGTTGAGTTTATGAGGTTTCTATATTCATATGCAACACTAAACTTTCATACATGTAATTCCATCTAGTTGGACAAGGTTTAGGAACCTTTCTTTCTCTTAGGCCAAATTCATCGCATCTTTTAAAATAGTCTCTAAGTCTACTTCTACAGTTTGAATAAAAAGCCAGTTAAGAGTCATTTTAACCTTTTCAATTTCAATATTTAAAATTCTCATATCATCACCCACAATTAAATAGTAAATATGACAAATAGATCTAACATGAAAAATGTTACTAAATGCAAGACTTAGTGTAGTGGTAAACAAGGCTACATCATTTGTGTTACTAGTAGCATTATCTATTGAAACCGACATGATTTTATCACTAATACCAAAATATCTACAAATATCTGTAACTATGCTAGCAATAAGCAATAATGCGCTTTTGCATTATCCAATCCTCATCAATCTAATGACCGGTAACAGTAAGGTAATCACAGTCATTATCACTTCTACCAATATCAGTTGTAATAGCAACACGACAATTTATATGAGTAAATACAACAACAACAACAACAACAACCCAGTATAATCCTACAAGTGGGGTTTGGGGAGGGTAAATAGCGCAAATATTGTTCATATTCATGTTTATATTTATAAATATCGCTCTTTACGGTTGTGCGAGGAAAACCTCTATAAGTAGGATTAAAATTTTTTCTAATATAATGCACAAAGTGAGTGTCACAAGGAAAACTATAGGGTAAGCACATAACAGTAACCATTTTTGCCAATTCTTCCCGATCTTTTTTTGGATCATAATATAAAATACCACCGGTAACAGTATTAATTCCCGGTTGAAATTGATTTGACCCGGTACTAGAGTCAACCTGCCTAGGTTTAGGTACACTTGTCCCCTCGGCCAAAGCTTTCATACGAAGATATTTGACTTTATCTTGAGGGTGTATCAATATGTGTCTAGCCAAAGTTCCCGTCCCCCCTCCCCTCCCTCTCCAAAATATTTAAAAGCTAACTCATTGCCACAAGTTTTACACTTAGCCTTATTTTGTGGAATTAGTTGAGTAAAAAATGGCCAAACAATAGATGTTTCTGTCCGTTTGGTACGTTGTCTAAAAAAAAATAGGGGCAGTAACAGGAGTATCAGACAGGGCATCATTTGGATTATCATTAGTTACATTAACTTCAGGAGCAGGACTAGTGGGGTGTATCGTCATCCAGTTGAGTTTCATCAAAATCTATTTCCTCATCATTTTCATCAATAGTTGGATTAGAATAAAGAGCATTCATTAATTCATGGTCTAATTATTCACCAGCGCCAACATTATTGCAAAATTGACTCTCAGTAAATTGTAATAAACTATTATTGCTATCAAGAATAGCAGGTGTAGGACGAGACAGACGAGTATGAGGTTTGAGTCGGGGAGCCGGGGGAAGTGGAGGAGGAACAAATTGGCCACTAGATTCGCCACTTTTGGATTTTTCCTTATTTTTACCAAAAAGTTTTTTTAAGGAAGTCATCTTAATTAATCAAATAATAGAAAATAAAACAAACAAAACATAATATTAAAAATTAAGAGTTGGAACGAGTTTACCGAATAGACGAACAACTTGTTGAAAATTGATTATCGTTGAAGACTTCAATTCACCAACTTCGCAATTTTTTCACAAATTATAATAATAAAGTAAGCAATAATAGCAATTATAGAAGAAAATTAGAGAGAGATTGATGATTTTGTGAGAAAAATGAAAGAATGAGGNTTAAATGCCCAAACGGGCAGATTTTTTTTGTAAATTTCTGACCGTTGGGACCGTTTAGGCCCTCCAAGGACCGGTCCGGTCCCGATCTTGCGGTCTTTTTGTGAAGGACCGGCCCAGAAGATCGGCCCACCCCCACGGTCCCATTTCTAATCGGTTTAGGCCTAGAAGCCCACATGGTCCGTGGTCTTGGGCCAGTCCCGGGCCTGGAGCTACCCTTAGAAAAAACGCACCTTTCCCTAGTCAGAAGCTCTTTGTGAAGCAACTTGACCGAATTTTAAAATTCTGCGACCTCCCAATTTTGTAAGTTCCTCCTAAAACTCAAATCCCAATACACCCGATTGATTGGCATTTCCTTTTGGCATGAGATTCCATACATGTTTGGAAATGTGATTAACAAAATGTTGTCCCCGCACCACTTATATTCCAAAAAACTTACCCTACTCTCATTACCCACTCTGAATGATATGTTTCCATTAAGCTCTCCCCAACCCTTGAATATATTTCTCTATAGCCCGCACACATTAAGTGGTACATTTGTTGTTCTCCAACCATCTTCGAAAACCCCATACTTCTCCGCAATCACCTCCTTTCAAAAAGCATTCTCCTCTATTCCGAATCTCTATAACCAATTTCTCAGTAATGCCTTGTTAAAAACGTTTGATCTTTAATCCAATTCCACCCCAACACTTTGGTGTGGTGACAGTCTCCCAATTTACCAAGTGAAACTTTCCCCATTTGAACCATCTCATAGAAAATCTCTCTACATCTTTTCCAAACTTCCTTGTAACACTAACTGGAGCGTGTAACAAGGACCCGAATTATATGGGGATACTCGATTTTGCACTTCTAATCAATACTTCCTTCCTCTTCTGGATAAGTACCTTTTTGCCGAACCTGCTAGCCTCTTTTATACCCTTTCAATTACCAGGTCCCAAACAGTTTGGTCCCTGTAGATGCTCTTAGTGGTAAACCAAGAAAAATTGTAGGAAGTGCCCCGACCTTGCAATTGAAAACTTGTGCTAGGCCCTCAATATTGCCCAGGGAAACCTTCTAATTGAATGTATTCTTCATGTTGCTAAGCTCTTGCAGTCATCTTTTAGGGCTTATCAAAGCAAAGCAAGATCATACTTATATGCAGGGAACGTGTTCCAAGTTAGTTTTGTCAAATTCTGCAAATTTGAGTTATTTCTCTATCTTTGAGTTTTAAGTCGCATTTTTTCTCTTTTTCTATGTGCTTATTCTATCACCAGTCCTGTATACTCAGAGAGATATTTATCCTTTACTGTTGATACTTTATCCCGTCTTCTCTGCTGCATTCGACTCCAAAGGACACAGAGTTGATCACAGTTTAGCTAGTTTTGTCTTGGCTAGTTTCTAGTGTACTTTGGTGCTTCCTTTTGGGCTGAAGTTTCAAAATTGTTAATTCTATGTTAGTGGGTAAAAGAAAACTACCATCCCTTAAACCATCATGGCTTACCTTTCTACACTACCACTTTACCCATTTTGGTGTCTTTGATGCTACATTAGTTTTGGGTGCTACATTATTATTTGATGAACTGTCCTCTCATGCAGGTTGAAAGCATTGGTGGCTATTCCAAAGGTTCAACCTCGATTTGCCATTGCCATATGGAAGAAATATCCCACAATGAAATCTCTTTTGCATGTTTACATGGATCCAAGTAAATCGGTAGGCGATAAAATTTCCTTCATTCCCCTTGGATATTATGATATATCCAGGCTTCAATGCTGATTAATTAAACTTTTACCCTAGATATTGGGTTTAGTTGTCTTTACATTTGTGTTAGTACGTAGTTCTTATTTCTTAAACTAATGATATCAGGGATTTCAAGTAGGTTTTGTAGTCAATTATTTAGTATGAAGGGGATAAACATCCCTACTCTTTTCACAGCGTTGTTAACTTTAAATCAGATATCTGCTTTTGGAGATGTCACAAATAATGACGACCTCTCTACAGAGAGTGAAAACATCAAAACTGCATTTGATTATCATACATTCAGTTCATCTGGTAAATTGACCTTTCTAAAGAGAGTGAAAACATCAAAACTGCATCTAATCATCATACATTCCGTTCATCTAGAGGGTTATATGCTTAAGAAAGGTCAATTTACTAGTGGACAAATTACAACAACAACAACAACCCAGTATAATCCCACTTAATGGGGTCTGAGGAGGGTAGTGTGTACGCAGACCTTACCCCTACCCTGGGGTAGAGAGGCTGTTTCCAAATAGACCCCCGGCATCCTTCCCTCCAAGAACTTCCCACCTTGCTCTTGGGGAGACTCGAACTCACAACCTCTTGGTTGGAAGTGGAGGTTGCTTACCATCAGAGCAACCCCTCTTACCATCAGACAAATTACACCTTATCAAAAAAAAACTAGTGGACAAATTACATTGTGGAGCTGGTATTGTTTGGTAAATGTAATTCATTCTTGAGCAATGAGGATATTGTTAAGGTGCCCTTCAAAAGATCCATTTAAACAAGAACTTTGATAATATTGAACATTTAAATGTTGGGAGTAACGTGAGTTCCTGACATATTTTCTCTTGAAAATTTCAGGTACATGAGAAAGAATTTCTGCTGAAAGATTTGAAAGTCGAAAACATGTTGGGTGATGATAGAAAATTGGGAGAGATCTGTTCTAGGAGAGTATACAGAATATTGATGGCTCAATGTGGAAGCATCAAGACAGATGACATTGAGAGTGGAGCTGATTTCTTCAGCCAGCACTCTGCTGAATAATCTTTTTTTCTTTTCTTTTTTCTTTGTTGAGGGTTATCGATTGTGACGGCTATATTGCGTGCATCTGGACTAATTCACTGTTTAACCTATCTAGCCCACAAGCACAGGTTGCCAAGGTAATCATGCCCACCAATATTGGAGCAAATGGGCTACTGGTTGGAGCAAATCTCATCTAAGAATTCCCTTTCTAAAAAGAGAATTAGTATATTAATTGTATATAATCCTTTTTGAATTTTGGTTGCCGTAATAGTAGGTAAAGAGATGGTGTTAACTGCATTGAAATGATAGCTTAGCTATTCTAGTTAATTGTTCTATATTCTGAAAGGAGTCTCAGCATTTAGCAAAAATGTTTATTTTTGATTTAGTTGATTAATTTTTTCCATATGGCTTCTTCACTACTTTTTTTCTCGAGCCGAGGGTTTATCGGAAACAGTCTCTCTACCTCCACAAGGTACAGGTAAGGTGTGAAAATATACATACGTATTGTAGTTGATTAAATTTAAATGCTGCTATTTGCTTAGTCGGCTAGAAGTTTGTTAAGATTATTTGTGATGTTTATTCCCCTTAATCATTGTTTTTGGTGTACCTAATCAGTATAACGCAGCAGTTTTGAGACCACAAATCTGATAAATCTTTCCTAGAGCAACAGATAACCTACACTGCCATCAAAGCTAGTGCTTGACTCTAAGATTTTGTTTTTTCATAATTAGACATCCTCACTCCTTCTGATTTGTTGTGACAGTGGTTGGTTTATAAATAAAGCTTGTTCAAATATAATTCCCTTATCCTACCCCAACCTACACCCCTCAACCAAAAAAAGGGGGGGGGGGGGGGGGGGGGGGGGGAGAAATGATAAATTGTTGTAGTTGAGAGTTTTTGCACATATTTATTTATGCTTTCCATAAACAATCTATAAAGGGTGACTATTTTATTTGGTAGTGAAACAGTTTGCCTTCTGAATACAGGTTTGCAAACACCGGTAAATATTTTTAGGATTGAGTATGATTTATAATTCTTACAATTTAGGTATTAAAGTATGAAATTATATATTAGAAGCAGTTGAAAAATCTATATCTATTCGCATCAAGATTTAGATGCGCCACACTAAACGAATCATCTATCTGGAAGTATTGGATTAGCAGATTGTCAAAATATTTACATCGAGATCGTCACTAACAATAGCACATGTGGGGGAGAATACTAGACGCCTTGCTGGCAGAAGAATCGATATTTGCTAATCTTGGATCTCAATCATGATTTTTATTTGCCCCTAACAAGTATTCCAATGTTCAAATTTTCATAATTGGGTTTAATTCTTTAAGTTGAATCTTTACATCTTCTTAACAATCGATAAATAGAAAAGACGAAAACTAAAGGAAAAAGATCTAGATAGGATTGTAAATGTTAGAGGTAAGGCATTGTTGTAAAAATTGGTTAGGAAGAATAGAAGTTAGCTTGAGGCGTGTCAAGGAAACCGTCTTTAAAGATATTTTGCCCACACAATAATGAATAAAATTAGGCATATCCCTAGAATTCAACAAGCTCTTCCAGTTATTAAACTGGGAACAAAACTAGCAGAAAAACCAAGAAAGAAACCCAACATATAGGAGGAAAACATGATTTAGAAAGTTATATTAGAAAGTGTGTCTTAAACTATCCAAAGACCATATTTATATAGGTGTTGCTCCAACGGCTAGTTAACGGTTAGATAATGGCTAGTAACGACTAATTTGACTTTATGAAATGTAAAAGAATTTGTTAAATAATAAGTAGATGTAAATAATACTTCAAAGAAAAAAGATTTTCCAAACCAAGATGACATTACCTTTTAAGATATCACTAATTTTTCAACAGGCATAATATCACTTTTTTGGTTTAATTATGCATTTGGTATCCGCTAATTTGACTTATAGGAATTTGTGTCACTCAAGGCCTGTTAAGTGAAAAATACTTCCTATTAAAGTTTTTTTGTTAATTCTTAAAGTTTGAATCCAAGACTTTTAATAAAAAATGGATATATATATATATATATATATATATATATATATATATATATAAACTCCTTGGTGGTAATAAAATCATAGTATTGATATTGGAAAAAGTGAAAGAAACTAATAGAACCTTTTATGTATAAAATGATGGCACCAAAATGAAGTGTTTAGTGTGAGGTACAAACAAGCAGGGAACAAGGAAGGTCCACTAGTAAATGCAGGAACACCAATTTTTAGCCATCTTAAAAGAGGAATGCCCACTTACTGCTATTTTTGTCTCCTTGAAAATCCACTGGGCCTCATTTGGGCCCATTTTCCATGTCAAAGTCTCGTGACACAGGGCCCACAATACCTATGATGTTAAGTAAGTGGAGTTCAACGCGTCCATTTTGCCAAGTGATGGATTCGATCGAACCCAGTAACTTTTATTTAAATCTTGTATTTGTTTTAATAAATTCATTAAATATGTATAAATTATTAATTTAAAATTTATTAACTTAAAATAATTATAATCACGAACATTTAAAGTCCAAATCTTTATTCCACCTCTAATGACATTCCCACCCCTCAACCACTCCCGTGTTTAATAAAAAACAAAAGAAAGAAAGGAAAACCAAAAGGAAAAAATGAAAGAGAAAAAGAATAAAAGAGGAAAACGAGGAATACTCTACATTTATCGAGTTTGTCTGGTTTTTAATTTGCGTGAGACGCTTTTCTTTATTATAATAATTATTTTGACATCACAACAAACAGGAATTATCGTCTTAGTTTAGTAGATCTTGTTTTTTTTTTTTGGTAGACTTTACTGGATTTCTTTGTGATATGGAAATATTTTTCATTTTGTTTATTGGATGTACCTACCCCTAAAAATTCTTCTAAAAGAAATGAAACCATTTTTTTTCCATAAAAAATGTGTAAGATTTCGATCAACTCGCCTTGTAATGTATATTTAACAAGTTCTGTAAGTTCTAATGTCGTTGGCCACCTCTAACTTGATTTTCATACACTTTCTATACAGAATAACTTCCAACTTTAACTTGTTTTCGTTCTTGGAATATAACAATTCTAACTTTAAGTACGTTCAAAAGATAAACAAAAAGCTCCTTCACTTCATAAAGTTGTGATAAATTTGAAATTAAAAAACAAGATTAGGAATAAAACAGATTATTTAATAAGCTTATGGGCACTACCCAAGATTGGCTCAACCACCACTTGATATGCTTTTTTATAGTCTTTGTACCAAAATAAGCCTAAATTTCTCAAAGTGGCCACTTTTCCCATCATATCCCAAAAACAACCAAATACCCCTACATTCACCAAATACTCCCTTTGGTCCTTGACTGTTTTTATACACATTAAGAAATTCACCTTTTGACATTAATTAACAATGTAAATATAATTGACTATATTAACCTTAATTTGTTCATTGAAAATACAACAAATACTCCTTGGCTCTTTACTCCTAGGACAACTTTAAAAAAAGAAGTTAATTCTTTCTTGATATTTGAAAAATCAAATTGTGAAAAAATATTAAAAAAAAGAAATCTAGTAAATATTATAAATCCAAGTCACTTTCAGGGCCCATGCACATAACGCACTAACGTACACTAAAACCATATATTTTCATTTTCTTGTCCATTTTATATATACACTTCCTTCTTCTACTAATTAACAACCCTATTGAGCTCTCTATTTTCTTGATAATGGAGAAGAGCAAATCTTTCCCTTATCATTCTGCATCTTATACAGAAGCAAGATTTGATTTCGAGGATCGAACAAAGTCTTATAGTTTTAACGGACCGGGCGAAAATCCGGAGGGGAAGAGGAAGAGAAGGATAGCTAGTTATAACATGTATTCTATGGAAGGTAAGCTTAAAACATCTTTGAGGAACAGTTTCAAGTGGATTAAGAGCAAATTTTCCGATAATTATTTTGATTAGTGGTGTGATTAAGAGGAAAATTAAGCATCTTTTTGTTACATGGGGTTGTACTTGATTTCCCTATTTTCTTTTTTCTTCTTGAATATCTAGTTCTTGTTGATATTGCCATGTAGAAAATGGTCTTTCAAGGTTATATATGAGAAGTGATTATTGTACATAATTATATGTTGTTTTGTACTTTTTTTTGGTTAAGTTGAATGAAGTTGTTTCTCATTCCCATCAAGATGAAATTGTTACGGGCAGAGGCGGATTTAAGATCTTGGGTTCAATCTTTTGGTTCTTTTTACAGAACCATTTCTCTTTTAAATTATATATATATACACTGATTGCGAAATTAAGAAACTAAGTTTAGCGAAGTGATAACATGAAAGGGGTCCATTATTGCTTTTGCTTCAGATCCAAAACCCCACTATTTCTTTGAGCATATGACATTAGTTGAATTTTATTTAATTTTTTTTTTTTGGCAACAAATTAAGTTAACGTGTCAGAACACTATTGTGTTCGTTAATTGGTAAATTGATAAAATGATAATTATTACCATTAAAGATTAAATTATAATATTAATATACAATGATTTTTTTGGATTAATAATATAGTATATATTACTTATTAAATCCTTGTTCAATAAACAAGCACCTCAAAAAGTTACTTTTTATCACGCGTTGGGTGGGTCTATTCTTTTTTCAATTGATGTTTCCAATTATTTACCTCTTATTTTCCCCCTTTTCTTTCCCTTTGCTCAAAGTATGAGAAGTGGGACAACCTTTTTCCACGGGTTCACTCTTTCGTAAACAAGAAAAGAAAATCTTATCATGTCGGTACTACTTATCCTAGCCATTATTAAACCAAATATCTAATGAATCACTCAATAAGCAAAAAAACATTAAGCAATCCCACCAGTCCCTTCATATGCTTAGTTGTACCAAAACCTGTCATATAAAAGAAAAAATAGCACTACTCAATAATATAGGTATGGAAGAAAATCTTTGCATAATTGTACTCTTTATTTCATCAAGTAATTATAGTAATACATAGACAATTATAACACGTCTAATCCAAAAATAACAAAAAAGGAAGCCCGGTGTACAAAATATCCAGCGTTCGTTTAAAGCGGAAAAAGGGTCGCACCCTAACAACTTGTTTGGATGTTGTTACATATTGTTTTATAATGTATCGAATTGTTATGTATTATATTATAGTATATTACACTGTGTTATTTTGATGAATACAATATTTGGATAGATTGTGTCGTTTCCAATCGTTTTATGATATCGCGCACCAGCAATCTGAACAATAAACTTATAATATTACAAAAAGAAAATCGAGCAGGGTAGATTTTTTTTAATTATATAAAAAGATGACGAAATACATAAACGGCCCCTTTAAGTTGTCCCCAACGACCAGGCAAACACTTCAACTGACCCTTTTACCATTTAGACACTTCAAGAGGC